GGCGGTTGTTATGCCTGCTGCTGCTAATGCTGCTGCTGCTGCTGCTCCTGCTCTCTGTCTGATTCATACAGCGGTCGATGAAGCTGTCGTAGGTCTCCGCCCGTGGAGGAGGCTTGTACTCGTAGTCACGACCAAAGTCTTTTTCATCGGTGGAGCGCGTGCCGTAGCGTCGGTACATGTAGTTGTTGTAGTAGTACTCTTCCTCAGGGCTACGGAACGAGAAATGCGGTCGAGGGAAGCGGCCAAGTCCGTATCCAACAGCCATTCCTGCCACAGCACCGACACCCGCCGCCAACATGGCTTTCTTGGCGAAACTTGGCGACTTGGGCTTGTATCCCATATTATTCACAGAATGGGAAAACGGAGACCCTCCCATTCCATGTCCACCGTATCCGTAGCCACCGCCAAAACGAGGACTGAGGATCTTGTTATTGGGGTTCCAATTTGGTTGCCCACCAGGGTACCCGCCGGGATAACCCCCAGGATTGGAGCCAGGCACACCCCAACCTGTATTACCCCCTCTGACCGGGTAACCACCACCTGCTGGATACTGGTTTGGATAACCTCTGCCTGGGTACTGGTTAGGATAGCCACCGGCTGCTGGGTAACCCCCGCCTGCTGGGTACTGGTTTGGATAACCTCTGCCTGGATACTGGTTGGGGTAACCACCGGCTGCTGGGTAACCACCGGCTGCTGGGTAACCACCGGCAGCTGGATTCTGGTTGGGGTATCCTCCCTGGTTGGTACCACCTCTGCCTGGGTATTGGTTGGGATAACCACCTCCAGCAGGATAACCTCCTCCCTGGTTGGGATTACTACCAGCGCCTGGATAATTTGCAGGGTTCTGCTTGGGATACCCTCCTTGGTTGGTGTTCCCTGCCCCAGGATGAGGGTAACTCCCACCGGCAGGATATGGGTTTGGGTTTCGATTCGGGGTCTGGGGCTTCCGTCCAGGCTGAGAGCTGGAGGGTTTTGACTGCGTGCCCCCCTTGTTGCTGGTGGAAGACGTTCTCTTGCTGCTGCTGCTGCTACTGAATCCGCCTCCACGTTTGGCCCATGTGTATTCAGTGTTCAGGAGACATATTACGAGGAAGGTTACAGAAGCAACGTCACACAACCTGCCCATCCTGACCCTGAGGAGCAAATAAATAACGATCAAAATGATATGATCACAGAAAATCAAAACATCGTCAAATATAATATAAGTATTTTCAGTGACTGATCGGATTGTTTCAAATAATATTTTAAAAGACATAAGGTATCACCGAGACATTGCGCGATCATTATTATACCAATATGATCGATCGATAAATCAACATGTCATCCATCCCATAGAGACGCGCACCATTAAAAACAGGCCTCTCTGTTTTTATATGTGTCCGTACACTGGCTGTAACAGCGATTATATTACACGCATCCATTACGTTTAGTATAAACTCGGCGATAAAACTCGACTATGAGCGGTGTTGTGTTGGTTTAGCTCTGCTGTTTTGTAGTCATCAATAATAATCAGACAGTCAGTAATATAATTATTTTTTTATCGCTCTCTTACCGTCAAAATGACCCTCCCTCGACTGTATGTTAAGTGTGCTGTGGCGTCCTCTGCTCCGTTATAAGATCTGTGATGGGGTGGGTCTCTGTGAAGGGAGGTGCGGTCGTTTTAATAAACAGCAAGTGCCGTGTGCGGGGCGGGGTGGCTGTAACAGTGGCCGTTCCCTGGAAAAATACAATTTCGACGAAAAACTTTTTAAAAATTGTTTAGCTCGATTAGAAATTAGTGGGAATTATTTCCATAACATTTTATTTTTCTGTCTGGCGCCCTCTTGTGGGTAACACCAACCCCACCTCACAGTGTATCCGTTCCATCACTGTGAATATAACAAGCGCACAACTAAACCCTTCGCAGTACAACGGTCCCTGACGTCAGTCTCCAGTCCTCCAGCCTTCCTGAGCAGCAGATCTGAGATCAGCGACTCTGTCATTGGTTAAACGCAGTTCGGGTTGTGACGTCGTTCGCGTAAACTCCCACACACCCGTATGAAGCGGATGCTTTCACTCCGGTGCACTGCTCGGGCGGAGAGGAATCATGTTGGGAAGCAGAATCCTCCGCGGAGGAACGGCGTTAATGAAGGGGCCATCGGACCTAAACATCTGTTAGACCCGCGGTAGTTGATGGTGTTTATGAGAACAACTGATCCCGGCTCAGCTACCATTTGAGGGAAGTCGTTGTCAAATGGACGGACAATAAAGCTCGACAGTCGGCCCGGGCTTTACCGTACGACGTAGGAACCTGTGAAGGACAGGAGCGAGGGAAGGAAAAGAAGGGGAGAAACAGCAGCAGCAGCGGCGGCGGCGGGGGGGGGGGGTGGGGGGGGGCCCGGGTAGGGGGGGGGGCGGC